TTTTTTTTTTTTTTTTAAATTCGGTTCCACGATTCGAGTTTGGGTTCAGTTTCGATCCGGTCCACCGGTTCCATAACGGTTAGCCAACGATCAAATTTCCAAATCTGACTGTTGGATCATATTGACCGTTGAGATCCAATGGTCAAGATTTAGTTATGAAATATAACTAATATCTTATTAGTTTATAGATAATTATGATAGTTGTGAATGGACCTCATTTAGACTATTGATCCAACAAAATGAACCTCACTTTTTAGTGAATCAAAGTAAAGGTACTATATCAAGTTCATGTTTATATTTTACGGGTTCAGAGTACTAGTCATAGCGATGGGATGGCCCAGCCTGCCAGTTTGACCCGAATTGATCGAATCGACCCTAAACCGGCCTGTAGTCAACAGGCCCAGAATTGAGCCCATAGTTTGACCGGGTCAGTTCTGTGCCTCATGTATAGAATTTTTTTACCCTGGCCAGCCCTCGAGACGGCCTACCATATTTTTTTTATCTTAATTTTTTTAATCTGTAGACCATGTCGGGATGGACCGAGTTGGGTCGGTCCATGGCCCGATATTGGACCGTTGGCGGCCCGCTAATCTGGGCCATTGAAAGTTTGGAGATCTAACTGTTAGATTTTTTATTTTTATTTTTTTTTTCAATTTTGTTCCATGGTCCGGGTCCGCGTCCGGTTTCGACCCAGCCCGCCTGGTCCAAACCGACCCGCTAATATTTTCTTTTTTTATTTAAACTTACTTAAATTTGTCGATATTTTTCTTAGTCTTATTCTATATTATAATTAAAATAGTATGAAAGGTTAAATAAATATTATTTTGAGAAAAAATTGTATTATATTTCTTTGAATTTTAAATTTTCAATGTTAGTTGCACAAATTTAGTCTTAACTAAAATTTAGAGTCCGTTTATATCTGAACCGTTCTTTTCGATTTTATATTCGTAATTTTTCAGTTATTTTGGTCGGTGTCGGTTTTTGGACATCAAATGCCGCGGGCTAACCCGCTTTAAAAAAATAAAAGTTGTAGGAGTAAGTATCCCACCCAGCCCAACACTTAGCCCAATTTGAAAAAAACTTACAGTCCAAGTCTCTAATCTCCAAATCCTACAGCCCAAACAAACCATCTGTCCTTTCTCACCCAACTCTCATTTCCTCTCTCAATACCCTAACCCCAACTGCGACGGAAAGGGCGTGACAGATGACAGAACCGAGAAGTTGACCGACGACAACACAGAGAACAAGATACGGCGAAGGCGGCGACAGAGAGGGCGAGACCCGGCGAGGTGGCGACGGGGAGGGCGAGACTCGACGAGGCTCAGGTTGATACTAGAAGAAACATAAAAAAAAACTAACACTTGATTGTCAAGTCCATATGATACTAGACCAGACATAAAAAAAATTAAAAAAAAAAACATGAGAAAAAAAAATTAACACTGGTTTCTCAAGTCCACATGATACTAGAACAAATATAAAAAAAATAAAAACTTAAAAAAAAACTAATACTGGTTTGTCAAGTCCACATGAGACTGCCTACCCCCAAAGTTGCCGGAAAGTTGCCTCCACTCATAGATTCTAGCGTGATATGGTAGAGCAAAACCTTCTACACTAGGATCCTTGTTCTTTATCCAAAGAAAAGTTGGTGGTGGTACAGGAGAATATGAACTTAGATGTAACCTAACAAAGTGATTCCCGGTGCGAAGGATGGTGATATCTCTCTCCAGACCTGGTTTTCCTTTTGTATTTCGCATCGGCAACACAGTACAAGTAGAGTTTTCCCACGTCGAGTCCCAATCATTGTACGTTAGACAAATTATAGCCGCATTAAATATGGTGGCAATGGGAAACAAGTTATCAAGCACAACCATGTAATGATTGATGCCACAACCTCTATTCCTTTCATGCCTTATGCGGGTAATTTCTTTGCTCACGTCCTTAAACCCCACTTTTTCATAACTGTAGGGAACGAAAGTAATTCATTAATCACGTGTCTTCTTATATCCATTCATTTATTTTGATCATCCATAAGACAATCAGCTATAACACGGAAACCGCAATTGCCATCGTCAACAACGTCCAGATACCCTTCGACATATGGCAAAAGGAATGGAGGAATCTTATGACAATTCTCCCAATAAAGAACTGCATCTGGACAACTACCTATAAATTACAAAATGGAAGCTTATATATATCCACAAATGCCTAGACATAAAGCTTAAAGTAAAATATGGTAGTAGTTGTATACCTTGAGTGTTTAGGGAATTCGATGTCTCGCGACCACACCCACATGAAGAACCACGCCCACGTGAGGAACCACGACCACGAGAGAAACTACGTGATGAACTCTGATTCCCTTGAGTGATGTTGAGAGAACTGATCTCCCACGAAGACAAGTTATGACTCGTAGAGGCTCTGCTCGCATGTCGACCTCTACGTGATTCATTTACATTCGGTTCTCCATATTCTCCCTGATCAGGGTAGACATGAGGATAAAGCAAAGCATTTACCCTTCGAATATATTCATCATCTTTGGACCTGACAACAACAACAAGACTATCGAAATGTTGCAAATCCATCGACCTTTCTTCTTGACGAACATTGACTTCTGAATTGATTCGAAGAGTTGTCCAAAATCTATGTAGGTGATGCGGTTCAAAGAATATATTGTTCATGAGTGCTTGATAAATCTCAAAAGGGCATGGCATACCAAGAGCCGTCTGCATCTTATGCTGACACAAATTGGGCATATCATCCCCCCAATGGTTTGTCACAACTTTCAATGACTTAAACAATAAATTCAAACAATGAAGTGATGTGCGATTTCTGAAGTATGTGAATGGGGGTACCGTGTGATCCACATTACTCTTAGACAATTATTTTTCTTGATCATACCTGATAATGAATACATTATATTCATTTCTTAAGTAATTGACAAGTAAAATGAACGTCCAAGAACAAATATTGAAAGACAACTAAACATCTAAGGAAAATGACGACATTATAATGCATGAAAACGTCCCAGTGGTATGCTTAAAGAGATTACGGAAGTCTAATACGAAAGCTTGCAAGAGCTGAAATGTTTACAAACGTCTAATACAAAAGCTTATAACAGCTGGAAACTTTCCAGTGGTATGCTTAAAGAGACTACAAACTGTTAGTGTTATAAACTGAAAGCTTGGCTTTGCATGTTATTACACATTTACCCTTTATGAATGAGAATCATGTTAGATTAAACAAGTTCTACGTTCTGTTGTTCTGCACTTAGATAGGGTGGGTCGTCATCGGGCGAACCGAAGATCACTCTATCAGTCACTTGCGAACAAGAATAGTTGTTCACAACCTAGATGGACATGAACACCCCATCCGAAC